CCCACTACATCAGAGTCCCTACACCCCCTGATGACAAGCCCTTCCACTCATTAGTGATGGAAAAAAGGGCATTCTGATCCCAACAGAAAGAGGTTTTCTGCCATTCTATTGCAGAAACCTATATTTCTATACCATTTAAAATTTTCCACCCAATAAAACCTATGTTATCCTTCACAAAAACCTTGTGATTTGATACAAAGAGTATTTCACAAATAAACTAGCTCAGAGATGTTAAGTGAGCTGTGCCAAGTCACACAACTGATAGGCAGACTGGTACAGTGGGAAAAGCACCGCTGAGACTGGAAAGTCTTATTCCACTTCCACTATACTAAGAAGCATAACTTACCCCACACTAAGAGATTCCCCCAGCCCAAACTATCACTTTTTCTAGCACTTCAGTCATTATTTTCAACTAAAGGGAAAGTCTAGGTTCAGACAGACTCTGTGTCTATTGCAAGGATGTTTAAGCTGTGAAGTAAGGAGAGAATCAAAGGATGGCTGCCCTTTGGGGCAGGATGAAAACTAAGCATCATGCCTTTAACAACAGAGCAAAGCACTATGTTTGAGTTGAACATTGGCTTTTATGTGGTTAAGGATCATTACAACATGAATGAAGCAGGCTAATCTGTGGTCATTAGAACCATATTACCAGTGGACTGTTGGTGGTCCATCTGTAAGGACAGAGAAGGAGGTGCATCATGGAAGAAAAAGGAAAGAAGGTGGAGGGAACCAGCATTTAATGAGATTTAATGAGCACCAGTTACATGCCAGAAGCTATGCACACAGCATGTCATTGACTCCTGGTAGCACTCTGTGAGGGTGCAGATCATGAACCCCACCTTTAGAACAAGGAGATGTTCACAATGTTAAATAGCTTGGTCAAAACTATATGCCCAGTGAGAGTCGGGCCAGGCATGGAACCCAGGTCTGCCTGATTATTTTCACATTATCCAGCTATCTTCCTGACACAGCATTATAATGTTCTTTATAGTGGGATTTTACCTACCTAACTACTTTTATTTATTTCTCTGATTAGTTCTAATTCATTCTAAATTCACATCACCCCAAAATAGAATTCTCTCAAAACTTTTTTCATTCAATTCTTACATTCACCTATATTTATTTAGTTCCTTCCATGTGGCAAGCACCGTGATTAAGTTCCAGAGACACAACAGCAAACAAGGTAGACACTGTTCTGCCCTGATAGAGATTATACACTAGAACACACTTTTGCAGTGAAGAATCAGAGAGTTAGTATTGTATTTGGGCTTTGCAGGTTGTATAATCTCTGTTGTAACTACTCATCTCTGTCATGATAGCATAAAATAACTGTGCATAACACATAAACGCACAATAAAATGCATGAACATGGCTGTGTTTCAATAAAACTATTTACAGAAAAAATGGTGAGCCAGATTTGGCTCACAGGAGTTTGCTGACCTCTGATCCCTTCAGTAACAACCGGAAAAGTAATCAAGCACTTAGAACACATTCTGACAATCACTCTAATTAAAAAAATACAGTGAGCTCTGGGTCTCTCTTGCAAGGACACCTAAGCCAGATTGAGAGAGATGAAGGATGGCTTCCAGGAAGAACTGGCATTCACAAAGCCACCCGAATAATGAGTAGGAAATAACCAAATAAAATTTTTCTGGCCCTCTTCCACTTACGTTTTCCTTTACCCACATTTCTAATGAACAATTCCTTATTTTACAAATATCTGAGTCATTCTGCTTGCCTCACTCCTTTTCACCAAAATAATTCAAGTCCCCTACCCTTCCTCCCTCAACAAGTATGTCATCTTTTTTCTTCAGTTTGTCACATGCTGAATTTTACTCCATACATTAACAGTCTTGTAAAAGTTGAAACAAGAAATAAAGTTGAACTCAGAAAAACTTTATGGTATGTAAACCATACCTTAAAAGATGACTGAAAATACATGAAGCCAGCAGCCTGACTTTAAGAGTCCTCACAGGATGATTAACTTTTGATGAAGCCAGCAGAGACCAAGGCTTGGAAAAATTTAACTTTATCTCAATCTCAAAAAAATTCTCATAGATTAAGCTTCAAGGAACATGAACTCACTGCCCCAAAGCAAAAGTGCAGAAGGTAGCAAGGTTTCATGAGAGAGAGTTGTAGAAACAACAGATAGCAAAGTGTAATCTTCAAAGACTTCAGATATTGAAATGACCAGGCATAAAATATAAACATCTTATAGTAAATATTTTCACAGAAATAAGAGAGAAGACTAAACTTATCTTCTTCTTGAAATAGAGTGAATATGGCTTCTCTTCAGCATAAAACAAGGGGCCATAAAAAAGGCCAAGTAAATTTGAAAAAGAACCCAGTAGAACTTCTAGAACTGCATTGACAAGTGGATTAAGAAACAGATGCAACTGAGGAAAGAATTAGTTATTTGGAAAAGATATGTTAAGTAATAGATTAATGTTGCCAAAGAGAGACTGAGAGAGCTGGAAGATAGATCCAAATGAAGAATCAAGGGTCACCCAGATACACAGGAAATAAAATATTTGAAAGAGACATAAAATGTACTAAAACGATACAATAGAGCAAAGGTGGAAGAGACACAATTGAGATCAAGACTAAGATTTTCTAGAATTATTGGATGAATGAATATAAACTTTCAACCATAAAATAAGCTCATTACCAAGTGAAAAACTCTTCCTTGTTCAATACACTTGGCAAAGTTACAACGGAGGGATTTGCTACTATTTTTGGAGGTGATCATGTTGTGAGACAGAAATGGTATTTTGATAATGTTATATTGCTTGGGCTCCAAAAGTTGGTAATGTTGTGAAAAACATTCTGCCAAGTTTGCATCTTCTCTCTCCACTAAATTGTTTGTGTTTCTGTCCATAATATTACTTTGCTGGTTTTAGTAAAAGCTGGGGCACATTGAAATCTAGGCTTCAGGGTGATGTTGAAATCCCTGAAGCCCTTGAGTGTCCAGGACAGTGTCCGACACAGTGATTGCACAAGGGAGGTTGCTGATTGACAATTGGCATTATCGAGTCAGCAGCAATGGGAGATAAGGAAGTTTTCTGAAAGCAGCATCTAAAGGAAAGTGACCTACCAGCATTTGTTTTCAAGCCTTGAAATAAAATTAGATTTAGCAAAAACCATCTTCATGCAGATGTACCACAGCCCAATTACAACAAGGGATCAAATTGTAGAAAAAATAATCTCTAATATATACAGATTATTCACTATTTGTCAGGCACTATGCTAAGCATGTAATGATGAGAAAGCAGAAATTATTTTATATCTTATTTAACAAATGTTTAGTGTACCTAACTGAAACCAAAATGCTTATAGTTAGCCTCTATAGTCTCTAAACACATCACTGAATCCTAAGCCTGACATACTCAGCTATCAACACCATAATACCAAAAGGTACCACAAGATAAATAAAATTAACTTTATTTTATTTTAACTTAGATAAATAAACCTGATGCTATGAAAATTTTTTTAAATTGATAAAAAAAAGGTTGGGGTTGCTGAGATCCTTTTTATCTGAATGCAGCAAAAATTTATATAAAACAAAATAATACCCATAAAGGAGGTTCATAAAAATGTTTCTTGGTTTATCAATTGAGTAGGTTGTGAATATATCAGATACAGCATAGCTTGGGCCTCAGGACAGCGAGTCTCAAAGTTTAGGGTACACCAGCATCACCAAAGACCTTGTGAAAATCATAGCTCCTGGGCCTAGCCTGCAGGGTTCTGATTTAGTGGGTTGGAGTTCAGGCCAAGAATTCCACCCTTTTCATAGGCACTACAGGAAAATGTGAGCAGGTGGTCCAGATGCCCCCCCGCCCCACAAAACTCTTTTTTAGGAGAAATAGAACCACAAGCCCTCCCTTTCCTATGAACCTCGAGAATCCTCAACAACTCCCACTGAAGCACAGCACCGATCCTATCACAGGGGTCCAGTTCTGATCTGGATTCTTGAGTCCAGGGATGAATCAGAGCCATAACGATTTACAGACATGAGGTAAACTGCTACATCAGCATCTGTAATAATTGATTCAAAAGCATCATGCACTTAAGAAATTCTTTTCACATGTCTATCTACCCTATCCCTCCTCTAAGAAGAGAATAGTCTCACCTTATCGACGTTATGGTAATGGGCCATTTTCTCTTGGCTTTCAACTTCAGATTCAGTTTCAAAAATGAGAAAGAGTAGTCAGGGCAAAACAAATGTTTGTAACATTTTTTATTTGACCTGAAGGGTGAGTGGTCAATATGTTTACCTGATTGCATTACAGCCAATTGGACACCAAGGCCTCATTACAGTACAGCATCATGTTGAGTGGCTAAAACCAGGAGGCGGAGAGCATACGTAAACATGTTTGTTAAAATACAACTGCATCTACTCTTACTTTTAATCAACCCCTGAAATACCCCTTAGGAACTGTTTACTTAAGACAGATCTGGCTGATGTGGGTCAGTGGATTGAGCACCGGCCTGTGAACCAAAGGGTTGCCAGTTCAATTCACAGTCTAGGGCACGTGCCTGGGTTGTTGGCCAGGTTCCCCAGTAGTGGTGCTTAAAAAGCAAACACACATTGATGCTTTTCTCCCTCTTTCTCCCTCCCTTCCCCTCTCTAAAAATAAGTAAATAAAATATTTTTAAAAAGAGTACATCTTTGTGAAATTAAAAAAATGATAATATTATAAATGATAGATTCTAGTTATAACTAAGCCATAAATAAGATCTTGTCATTTCTGTTTAATGTGTGAATGATAAGCATTTGCTCTCATTTGCAGAGAGGCAATTGTGAGGGGAAAAAACCATGAAATATATTTAATTCAACATCTACTTACCAACATGGAATTTCCCTGTCTACTGAATTTTATATTACACAACATTCACTCCAAAGGGTTAAATATATTATCACTTTTTTCTCTTCAGGATTTTTTGATGACTTTGCAAACTAGTCAACAATTCAGCACAAAGGCATCCGGAGTCACGCTGGCATGTTGTGACTGAATCATAAGGCTACATGGGATTTGTCCCATTCTGAAAATGCCCGAACCATGAACACAGAGGCAAATGAAGTCAAGTGTCAAAGCCAGCACTGACTGAGAGAGACTTGTAACGCAGACTCCACAATCCATGGGGAAGTTTTCTGCTGTGCATGGAATAGAGGAGACAGACAGAAAATGACAGCAAGTCTTCTAAGAATAGCCCTTGCTTTACTCTCACTTGGCCTCTGTGGGGTCTTGGAGGCGACAATATCATGCAGAAACGAAGAAGGGGATGCTGTGGACTGGTAGGTAAAAGAAATGAATGTTTTGGTGCATGCAAATAGAAAGCCAGAGTGTCAGATGCAAATTGGTTCACTGTAAAGTTCCAAAGGAGACGTTACCCCATGCCTCCTCTTAAGAAAAAAGGAAATTAAAGAAGAGAAGAAATTAAATGGGCCAAATATTCAGATAAAGGTAGGCTTCCGAGTGAGGGCACTGCCTCCGGAGAAACCTGAGCAGCCCCTGAGGGCCTGCCCCACTGCTTTCAGTGGAGCAAGGCTGGTGGCCACAGATGTGGGGTGGAGCTGAAACTTCTCAGTTGGCAGTTTCATTTAATTGCGTTGTGGCTTTGCTAACAGAACCCTTCCAACATCCTTTTAGAGACTGTCAAAGGAGAGAAGGCAGATTATTTTCTTTTTGCACTGGAGCTTATGCTTCTCATTATGGCAATAAGAGGGCACGATCATACATAGTACTGTGTGGTTAATCTTTACTAGGCAGCACAAGCAGCTATTGGAGTGGGGAATGGACAGAGGCTTCTTGGACAGTGTCAACGCGATTAAACAGCTTTGTATCATAGTCATGGGTCCCCTAAAGCTTTGATCATTTTTTCACTCTTTAATTAGGGTATTTTGGTGTGCCATTACAGTTGGCATCAAGCTTTGTGTAAACTTCAGGCTAGAAAACACAGGCGCACTGAACTCAGCCTCTCAGCAAACAGTTACTCAGCTCACACCAGGCTCTGTGCTGAGTTTTAAAAATATAAATATGGACAAAACATAGTTCTTGCCTTCAAGGAGCTCATAGTTATGTGGTAAGGGCACAGATGGGGCGCTGGGGAGCATAGAGCCCAAAAGGCTTCTCTGAGAACGTAGTTTTAAACTCAGTTTTAAGGACAAATGTAAGTTAGAAAAACAAGGGAGATGCAAGGGCATCTCAGGCCAGTGAAAGAGCAATGACAAGGTCTGGGACAAGAAACAAGGAGGAGAGTTTGAAAGAAGTTCAATACTGCTGGCACTTCAGAAGAAGGTGAGGAGATGGTAGGAGGTGAGCTTAGGGAAATAGGTAAAAGCCAGGTTATGAAGGGCTTAATGTGCTGAGCCCCAGAGTCTGAACTTGACATTGAAAGGGAACTATTGAAGGACTTCAGGCAGGGATGTGATGTGGTCAGATTTGCATTTTGCAGAAAGCCCACTAGCAGTACTATGAAGGCTGGCGAGCCGGAGACCAGTCTAGAGTCATTAAGGACCTTTGCAGCATTACAGGTGAGAAGTGGTGTGGACCCAACTTAGAGAAGGGGTAGTGGAAATAGAAATCAGGGAGCACTCTGAGAAGACTTCGTAATGAATTGGCCGAAGGTTGTAAGAGACTGGGAAAAGAAAGACTTTCAGGTTACTGGCTTCTGTGACTGCATGGATGTATTCCCTAATAGCAGGGGATGAGGACATTTGGAGCAAAATATCACAAACCTGGTTTCAAAAATAGGAAGATGGACTTTTCTGGAACATCCTGGCACTTAGGTTTATCTGACCTCAGCATAGAGGTCTGGGCTAAAAATCGAATTGGGAATCTTCAGCATGCAATTGGAGACAGTCGCTCGGGAAAAGCAGTGAAAAGCACTGATTTCCAACTGCTGTGCCATGGCACACTGACAGTGTATACACCCTTCACTGGTGGGCCACCAAATTGTTATCAATAATTAAAATTTATTCTTGCCATAACTAAATGGACAATCGCTTAGCAATATTGGTTGGGGGAATGCTGAGCTGAGCAGACTGTCAAGCTGCTGCAACTTACTGAGAGAGCTAAAGGGCAGAGTCATATTAAGGCCGGAACCAAAGAATAACTTCTTGCTTCCTGCCACATGAAAGGACCTTGCCCTGAGAGTAAGAAAGCATGGTCAGGGCAGGAGAAAGTTTACTTAAATAGAAGTAAGACTGAAGAAAACCAAATAAGCACTGAGAAGCTTTTATGGGCAGATGAGACACTGTTGTGTTGTAATAGTGAAAATTCTTTACAATGTTTTCCTATCGAGAACGTTTGAGGAATAAAGTTGGGGTTTGTAGCATTAGGGAATATTTGGATAGACTGGGGTGATTCTGCCCTCGGGAGACTTTTAACATGTCTGTAGGCAGTTTTGATAGGCACAACTGGGAGTAATACTGGCATCTAATAGGTGGGGGGCTACAGTGCTCTGGACAGTCCCCTACAACAAAGAATGCTCTGACTCAGAAGGTGAATAGAGCGCATGGAGAAACCCTGAGCTGGGTGATCCAAACAAGCGCAAATGCTGTGTTGGCCCAAACTCCTCTCCTCCCCAAAGGAGACATATACGAACAGGAGACAGTAGCAAAGGAAAGCAAAGCGCTACTTAATTAACTGGCCTTGGCCCTGAATTCTCTCTCAATGCGGAACATTCTGATAACCTGAGTTGAACAATGTGGTTGAAGCCAGAAACTCCATCTACCCAAAAACCCACACCTAAATCTCAGACCAAGCCAGCCAGTTGCAAAGATGAACATGTCAAGAACTTAGAGCAGAAGAGAAAATCTCATCAAAGACCTTCCAGCCCAGGCCTGGGCCTTGGTCTCCTGCTTGTGTGTAGCCATATTGACTGTAGAAACAACAGAGAGAGGCACTCTCGAAATACATGTACTTTTTACTACAGAAATCCCAACCATCGAGGCCTAGGAATGTGGCTTAGAATGTGCCCAATGAGACCCACGTTTCCTTGTGTGGGAACAAGCAAGAATAAGGGTGGGGAAAAAGGCTGAGCTCAAGCACATCCCTTTCCTTAGACTTAGAGGCCTTTTGTGAAATGTAAATGAAATGATATATTTAAGTGCTTTACATGGCAGCTGCCACCAGGGAAGCAGTCAGTAAAAGTAATTCACAATTATTTCTTTTGTTAGGTTTACCTTTTACAAGTTACCTAAAAGGCAAGACCAGGAAAGTAGAAAGACTGGGTTAGAGTATCTATACCTAGACTCTACAACCAGAAGCTGGAGGAGGAGTAAACATCTGATGAATACCACCAAGAGTGCTTTGGGGAGGACATTAGAACAGCTATATGAAGCATATGCCTCCAAGGTATGTCATAGTTCATTATTAATTTGAATCATATAAAATGCATAAAACAGAATCTAAAGCTCCCAAAAGATTTTAACTGTTCCCTTACCCAACCCCCAATCTTAGCAATGTGATTCACAATCTGCATCACTCTGAGCGCCAGCTTAGGGAACATGTCATCAGACTCCACAGTAATGCCAAATTGTTGGTTCATTCAGCACCATGTCCAACGGTATCACTGGGCAAGATGCGAACTAATTACACATTGAAGCCTTCTGGCTGCCAAATTCTGCCAATTTTCTTAGTGCTTGCTATCTTATCCCTCTAATGGAAATAGGGAGCAGAGACCTCTCCTGTTATGATGCAGCATAGATCTTTGATGAATCTGTCATGAGTTACAGGGATGTTTATGCCATGCTGGTGATGCATGGTAGTTACCTACACAGAGGGTCACTCAGTCTTCCTCTTAATTAATCTTTTTCAAAATGGTAGGTTGAGGGCTCAGACTCTAGTTTAAGATCCTTGAACTAACTTGCCTGAATGGAGCTTAAACCTGCTACCTGGGCTTCATCAGGCAGTGAGGTAACCAGCAAAAGAGACATGGGTAAGGAGGCCTGCTGGCCAGTGTGGACAGTCTCCCGGAGTTCCAGGCCTCACGTGCTATTCAGTGACAAGACACTGCTTTCCAACCAGATGTGACAAGTAGAATCAAACAATAATCAATGTCTGATTACACCTGGTTGTACATTTACTAACCAATGACTTACACAGAAGTCAGTGTATAAAATGACTCAGCACTTACAATGTGCTAAACCTGTACCGATGGTAACTAATTTAATCCCTACAACAATGCTGTGTTAGACTTTAGTACTGTAGAACATGTGTGTCTGAGTATTTGCTCAAAAGGTGCAGAGAGCGGTCACTGTGTACACTTACACTCACTTTTTCACCTGCCATTAAAACCAGCATTTGGAGCCAAGTTACAAAGTCAAAACTTACCTGTCAGCTGGTTGAGTCCCTGTGATGTGCCAGGCACTGTTGTTCTAGGCACTTTTAAAAAATATTTTATCTCAGCAACAGCTTTGCTTTGAATTAATTAGATTAATTGTGTAAAATCAAAACCGCCTGCAGCTGCTTACATTTTCCAAGGTTGGGGCAGAGGATCTGGAACACAACTCAGCAGTTAGAAAATACACTTACATGGTGCCCTTCTCCATCTCAGACACTGAGGGCTGTGTGTTGGGGTGGGGAGTGGGGCGGGGGGCGGGGGGAAACAACATTGTTAAGCCTCTGTCATTTACCTTAGTTGGGGCAGATGGTTCTTAGTTTGGCAGAATATAATAATGATCTTTGGAGGCTCAGGAAGGCAAGAGAGCTAAACTGCAATATGAATGAGGGTAGATGGGAGCTAGAAATTAAAAAGTATAAGAAGCATGGAGGGAGACTGGGGGCAGGTCAGCTTGATAATGTCCAATCATTCAATGTTCACACCTTCAGTAAAACCTGCTCATACACAATGTCTTCACTGATGAATTCTAGGGGAAGGGAAATGACAGTAAAAGGTTGATTTCCATGACTGATTGGCATGGAGTGAAAAGAAGAACAACACTGGGTAATATCCATGTGAGATTGGGTGCTCTTTGGACCCTGGAACTATGTGCCAGAGTGACCATGAGAACTTAACTCTCTACCTCGTGACCTGGAATTGAACTTCTGAGAGTATTCCAGATCAGACCAACTACTTTTATATTTCAAATGTCAAGGTGACCTCAGCCAATATCTGGATTACATTTAAAATTGTTTCTCTTCTTTTGCCTTTGTAGATAAGAGCCTTCCATACACCTTCATAATAATGCTTATCAAACTATTATGTGGCAGTTGCCTGTACTTGTCTTTCTATATTCCTTTCAAGGCTGAGAACAGAGCCCGTACCTGTCTTGTTCAATATCCAGTAATCAAAATACTCCCCAACACATGTGTTAAAGGAATAAAGCTGTCCAGAGGCATGTGCTTACATCTGTCTATTCTAAAGTCCCTGATCTTTCCTCTGTATCAGAGAGCCTCTCTCCCCACTAGGGCTACAACCCTTACACCTTAGCTAGCTGTTCAAACCTGGTTAGAATAATACATGTCATCTACTATAAGAATAAATTTCCTCATTGAATCTTCCCAGAGCTCCTCCACATTGCACCCCAAAGGCACACAATGGCCTCACCACCACTTCGCTGCAGGCTCACAGAGTGACTGTCAAGTGCTCCAGAGGAGACATAAACGCCAGCGGTAGCTGTGGTCAATGATGGAAAACGAGCGTGAGAAAACAACTTCCTTTCCTGATATTCCTAAACACAGTGGCCAGGAATGCTGCAACACACAGATTGTGTGGCACACTTTTTTACAAATGTGTTTAGACTACAAATAATTAAGCAACTGTAAGAGATTCAGTTATTGACTATTTTTCTGAGACAAAAGCAAGGACCTTTTTTTAAAAAATAGGTTGTTCTTTCCTGCTTTAATTATGTTGCTTAGATTATTTTTTAAAAATCGACATTATCGACTTCAATAAAAGTCACTGCTTTCATGTCATGAAGCAGTGACTTTTATTGAAGTCGATAATGTGAAGCAGTGACTTTTATTGAAGTCGATAATGTCGATTTTTAATGAAAAAAATGAAACTGCACAGAACAAATATAAGCAAGTTTCTAAAACATGACACTGAGATACTCTCAAAATAATAGCTTCACTTTGACTCAGAGATGTGGCCAACAGTTTGGAGAATTCATTAATATTTTCCCTTACCAGAGGAAACCAATACCACACATTCAGTTTCACCACTTTTTCTAATCAGGGTATATCGAGTTAAAAAGGTGAAGAAATACGGAAAGGGACGAGAAAAACCCTGCCTCGTCAGGGAGGTAGAGGGAGCAGAATGAGAAATCCTGATTAAACACAAAGCTACAATCAAGCAGCAAGGCACAGAATAGGCGGAGAGAATCAGATCCTGACAACCAGTTCTGTGTTGTACCAATAACATCAACGGGGGTGGGGGGGGCGGTTGTGGACAGGTATGATCCTTGGCTGGTTGTTCCTACTTCATTTCCTGAACAAATATTGAAGTACTTTTTTTTTTATCATATACTGGTTGCCAAATTAGAAACATCGGCCAAAAGCAACCCAAAATAAGAGGAATATCACCCTCACACACACATATCACAATGCATAGGGCTCCTGTCTCACAAGACAAAGCCATACAGGTTAACAATGGACTTTCTGTCACTTGTCTTGTAGGTCTCAGAATTTTTATTGATGGGGAAGCTGCCTATTAGGGAACTGGATTGCTTCTCACGTATATTAATGAAAGCTCTGCATCACAGGCTAGGCAGCTGGTAGAAATGTTATGAGCATTTGAAGTGGAAGATTTCCACCATTATAACCCTAATATGTTCCTGCAGAACAACAACACTGCCTATCTAATGTACAATGATGGAGTCCCTAAATCTGTGAATTACAGCAGAAAGTACGGACACACCAAAGGTATGACGAATACTCAGTTTCTCTTTCCTACTGGAAATTAACATTTTCTTGAACATTCCATCTTGAATATTTTTATATTCCACATTAAAAAGACAGCTTTTGTTTTTAATGCTTTATTTTGAGTTATCAAAATGTGTGATTTCTATATCACAAGTTATAATTACATAATTTGACTGGGCAATTTCCTTCTCACAAAGGCCCTTGGAGTTGAGCCTTGATTACTGTTGTCAGGTGAGCAGAAGGGATTTAGCCAGCTGGTCAGCTATAAGGACTGGCTGTGACCACTGCCCACCACCCTCTGCCCTATTCGAAAGATCAGCTGTGCAGCGGCAGGGTGGTGGTGCTCTGACGTGGGCTGTAGCTTCCAGTGTGAGGTCAGGCCCTGGGATTTTTCCAGGTGGTGCAAGTCAAAATCAACCCCCACCTGTGCTCTGCCTGAGGCTACCCTGCCTGAGCTATAAATCAATCTGAGATGGCTGCTACTTGTGCTGGGCTTGGAGATTCCCAAGGCAAGCCGAACTGTGGATGTAGGCTGGCTGCTGTTAGTGCCGGGCCTGGGGCCACTTAGCAAGGGGTACAAGGACTGGGGGCTCACTGAGGCCAGCTGTTGCTTGTTTGATAGCATTTAGGAAGTTGTGAAACATGAGCCAAGACCAGCCATTCATATGGAAAAGTCAGTTAACAGCTTGGGTGGGCCCATAAATTGGGTGGGGGGGAGTCTCAGGGGATCTCCAGAGTGAGACAAACAGTATTAGCCATGTTGATAGAGTCTCAGATACGGCACCTGCCTGCTGGCTCTGTGGCCCTGTTGGGGGAGGGCTTAGAAAAGGGACCATGGCCTCTGCCCACCTTTCTGTCTGGGAGAAAGCTGTCCCCCAACTCCTGACTTGATGCCAGACACTTCAGTTCCTCCCTGTGTGCCACTGGTGCCTCTCAAGCTGCTACCCCAGTGCTGGAGCTCAGAGGGAGGGAGTCTGAGTAAGTCCCTGTGTGGGTTCTTTAAGGAGAACTGCTTGGGACTCCAGAAGTTTCTTCCACCAACTTAATCCCTCTACTGCAGGTATTGATTCTATATACACTGGGAGAGCAATAGCGTGCTTTCTTTAAAGGAGTTTTTGATAGAGAAATAACTGGTAGACATTTGGTTTCTACTTAACAATAAGGCAAACTTGAATAAGCTTTATGTTTGCATGGTCATGTGAAAACTAGAAAGTCTTGTCAGCATACCAAAACCACCCTGATTTATTTATAAACACAAAATAGTCATAGATGCCTGTTGGACAGGGTTGATTTTTTCATGTCACAAGACGATGAAAATCTTTGTTTTCTTCCTTCTGGCTTCCATGTTATTTTGCTCTAGAGAGTTTTATTAAAACACAATGACCTGGAATGCTCTGGCATGGCTTCCTTTTTTTCTCTTTGCTTCTTTGTGTATGTGTGTCGGGAGGTGCTTTCGGAACTGGGTAATTCTTCTGCAAATAAATGAGCATCCATTCCTTACAACAAATAACTGCAAGTATGTTTCTTCATTTGGTATTTTCTCTTTCAACTCTGTTTTTTAGCTGGCTTTTGAAAATAACTTAGCTGCTTAGCAGTGAAGACCTATCTAAAGCTTGCCAGGTGGCTGTATAGTTTTAACAAGGTCAAATTCAAATTTAGCAAATTTGCATTCTGTCAGAACAAATTTTCTTTGTGGTTTCAACATGAAATTCCTCTAGATTCCTAACGGGGATGGTTGCCCTCAATCCCATTTTCTGGTAGCTTATTATCAGGAATGGGGTGATATAATATGGGCCTGAACTGGTTTCGAAATCTTGGAAAAAATTGGTGTGATCCTTGTGATTATCAGCCTAATAAAATATTAGTCTTGAAGGCAGGGCAAGGGAGAGCAATGGGGGTAAATTGGGATGACTGTTATAGAACAACAATAAAAATACATAATTATATATAATTATATATATTTATATCTACATATATTAGCCTGAAGTATAAATGGGCTTAAATTTTGTACCTCTGAAGTCTTTTAAAAAGGAGCTTCATGTTTCTGATTTATCTGTGTTAACTGTATCTTTGGTAGGTTTATTGCTTTGGAACAAAGTCCAGGGGTTCTGGCTGATTCATTCTATCCCCCAGTTTCCTCCAATTCCTGAAGAAGGCTATGGTTATCCGCCCTCAGGGAGACGCAATGGACAAATTGGCATCTGCATAACTTTCAAGTATAACCAGTATGAAGCTATAGGTAACATTAGAGTGTGTACAAAAATATAATAATGTTGGAGAAGGGGCTATATTAATATATTGGGGCTATAGTAATAAATTTGTCACTTCATTTGTTTTTCCACTCATAGACATCCTGATCCCTATATTCTAATGTTGGCTTTTCCATGGTGAGACCTGGGGCAGACTCACCTACTGGACCTTGATTTCCTGGTCCTTCAATGAATTCTGTGAATTTATTCAGGGGTAGTAGTTTCAAATATCTACAGGGACCAGGTAGGTAACATAAATGAGGGGAAACAGGTGAATGTTACATGGGCAGTGTCCATAGTAACAAGCTGAGGCGTTAACTCTCTGCAGCTTCCCTCAAAAGCTTCAGCTCCATTGCATTGTAGCTCTGCAGGAATGCAGAACTAATGGTTGCAGATGTCCATATTTTATGAGTAAATAAAATCTAGGGGTGTGTATGTGTGTCTATATGTGTGTGTGTATGTGTGAGAGAGAGAGAGAGAGAAAGAGAGAGAGAGGGAAAAAAATCCTGCTTTTTAAATATAGTCTCAGCCCTAGCTGGTATGGCTCAGTGAATTGAGTGCCAGCTTGCAAACCAAAGAGTCAATGGTTTGAATCCCAGACAGAGCTCATGCCTGGATTGCGAGCCATGTCCCTGGTTGGGGGCACATAAGAGGCAACCACACATTGATGTTTCTCCCTCCCTGCCTCTCTGTGTAAAAATAAATAAAATCTTTTAATAAATAAAGAAATATAGCCTCAGTCTTACATATTTTTTAAAAAATTGTGTAGATCTCATATTGCCTGTAGGCTGCCAACCTGGCCCTTCTGAACCCCCAGGTCTCAAGCCCAAATGGCCCAATTCTTGGGTTTGGAAAACTATGATAGGGGAGGTAAATAGTTAAAGAGTGACTTGCCTTTAGATAAAAGAGGTTTAGAAATGTTTTTCATCCAATTTTCATCACATGACAAGGATTTCTGAGTCTAATCAAACCCCAGTCTAACTAGTGGAGTTTATGTAATGATTAGACAGGTGAATTACATGAGCTCAGGTATGTGCATCATGGATTGATCATTCCTGAAGCTGGATGACTGGTATGTGGGAGCTCTCTATGTTTTTGTATATGTACATAGAGAAGAAAAACATATGCCTGGGTTTGAATATCAACTCCTTCAGTTACAAGCTTTATAACCATGAGCATGTGACATGACTTCTCCATTAATTCTTCTATAAAATAAGGATAATGACAAACTCAATAATAAGAATGCTATTAGGATTAATTAGTAAACCCATGTAAAACTCATAGAACAATGCCTGCAAAGTAGGAAGTGCTCAATATGTGTCAACTGTTTTAACCCAAAAGTTATTTGAAAACAATTGGCTTTCAGAAGGGAATGCTTTTGTTCTGCTTTTTAGTTCACAAAAAAAGCTGTAATATCAATAAGATTTCCATTTGTATCTTAATTCTCAATTTTTCTTTATTATGTTTTTTTCAGATTCTCAACTCTTGGTCTGCAACCCAAACATTTATAGCTGTTCCATCCCTGCTATGTTTCACCAAGAGCTTGCTCACATGCCCCAGCTGTGTGCCAGGTCCAGCCCCTCGGAGATCCCTGGCCGGCACCTCGCCTCACTTCAGTCGGCCCATGGACAGAACTTCCTCCATTTTGCAAAGTCTGATTCTTTTCTTGATGGTATGAAAGACCATCATTTAACAATATGCTAAAAACTCTGCTGTTGAACTCATTTTGGCTTGTGTATAAGAAATATTCTGATTATTCAGGAGAAGAGAAGCCGAAAATAGGGAAAGAACATTTTTAGACACCAATATCATCTTCGTAATAATAATAATAATCATTTTTATTTGCATATTACTTTAGCATTTACAAAATGTTCTCCCACCCACTATCTTAATTTGTTGTTATTAGTGTATTTGTGACATTCACATATCAGGTATGAATGATGATTTTCATTCCCGAAGATATTTTAGAGACTTATCTAAATATAAATACTAATCTTACTGTCTATCTCTTTATAAACTCTAGACATCTTTGTAGCCTGGATGGCTCAACATTTGAAGACACATTTGTTAACTGAAACCTGGCAGCGAAAGAGACAACAGCTTCCTTCAAACTGCTCCCTTCCTTACCACGTCTACAATATCAAAGCAATTAAGATATCTGGACACTCTTATTTCAGTTCTCATCAGGATCATGCCAAATGGTGTGTTTCCCAAAAAAGGACCAAAAATCGCTGGACATGTATTGGAGACCTAAATCGGAGCCCATATCAAGCACTCAGAAGTGGGGGATTCATCTGTACCCAGAATCAGCATATTTACCAAGCATTTCAAGGATTAGTTTTGTATTATGAGAACTGTAACTAAACCTGGTGAATGGACATATATACTATCATTTTCAATATTGACAATGGATCTTCTTCCATTAGATTCATTCTTTATATTTTAAAAGCCTATGAGTGTATGTATAATCCAAAGATTATCAAGCAAAACACTTTCCTCCCATGTTTACCATTTGTCTTCTATTTAGTGGCAATTTTATTTACCTTGTACTTATTCCCTAAGCATAAGCTACCATATATAACTGAAATGTGAATGAAAGGAAAAATATTTGCTCCATGTTAGTCCACTCAATTGTTCACAGACTGACTGGTAATCTTGTGAATTAAATTTCATCTCTATCATAAAAAATGTCCCTGACTCTCCTACCCACCTTATTTTTTTTTAAAGGAAAAAACATCTCTTTCTCTGTGTACTCCATGCTGTTTACGCTTATTCCCTTTAAATTTCTTTCTCATTGGTTTATGGTTAAGCCATGTCATTCTTGCAGCTGCTACTTACTAATTGCATGATCTTGGATCATTCACTTGAACTCTCTGAGCCTTAGTTTTCTTACCTATGAAATGGAGAAAATAAGTCTGACACCGAGGTGGCAATGCTAGTGGAATTTTAATCTGAAGTCCCACACCCAGCTAAAAGAGACAAAAGCTTAGAAATGAGTAATATGCTTCCAAAAAAATTCTAAGTCAGATTAGGAAAAAGAAAAAAAAAACAGTATCTAAGTCTAGCCCATCAACTTAGAGGAAATAAAAAAGTGTAACATAAAGAACCCAGAATCGAATTAATAATTTTAATTCCAGGATGTTTTATTTTCTTTAATTCTTATCAATAAACATAACTACTATATAAATTAATGATAATAAATTTGTATTAAGTACCAGTTACTTAATAAAGTTTGAGGTATGGTTTCTAATTTCAAGAAGCTTACCATCTAGCAAAAGTAATCACAATATCAGGAAGGATTGCAGAATAACATGTTTCTTTTTATTTGCATTTTATTTTTATTTTCAAATTTATCGTTATTATTTTATTTTTTTTTTTAGTAGTGTCCTTGCCTGTGCCTTAGCAATATCAGCTGGTGGCCTTGAACAGCAGAAAAACAGTGCTGGACCTTTGGGCCAAGCTTCTTAGGCTCCTTACCATTCCCATTGCCGAGAATACTGTTCTGATCAGATGTGTCTATCCCATCCCTCTCTGATTCAGTGGCTTCTAACAAAGTTGACATCCTGGCATTCTGAAAGAATTGACCTAACAACATCCAAAGTGTCTCTTTCATCCTCATGGAGTCAGTCACTTTTTCTGTAACATGTGGCTATTGACCTTGATGTTGAAGACTTAACTCATCCCCACCCAAGAAGAGGAAGGTTATTACCTCCCTCCCCAGTAGTGGGAAAAATGAGCCTCATTAATATTTCCAGTGTCCCTTGAGAGGTACAGAAGTTCAGTGTTATAAGTGGCATTTGTTATTTTTTTAAAATTTCATATCTGCCACTAAGACACTACAAATTGTTAATGCCTATATAACACATCATTTAATGATGATAAAGCAAGTATAAACTGAAAGAGGGAAAAGATAGATGCAATCATTTATACAGAGAGAATAGACTAAAACTTGCAGCTAAATTATATATGATCGGGTTTTTGAAGTATCAGATATTCAGTAATACTTTTAACACCTTCCTTTATTTTTTTAAAGATTTTATTTATTTTTAGAGAGAGGGGAAGGGAAGGAGAAAGAGAGAAATATCAATGTGTGGTTGCTTCCTGCATGCCCCGCAGTGGGGACCTGGCCTGCAACCCAGGCATGTGCCCTGACTGGAAATTGAACCTGTGACCCTCTGGTTTGCAGGCCGTCACTCAGTCCACTGAGCCACACCAGCCAAGGCTTAGCACCTTTTTATATGCCTCAATTTAGTCACATGAATTTAACACATTCTCTCATTTTATCATGATTTTTAATGTGTATCCTGACCCTAAACTGTGTATTATGATGCAGTGTGTCAGCTACAGTCATAGCATATGTTTTGCTCCAATAACAGAGACAAAAGATTTAATCAAATATGGTTCAGCTGCTACAGTTGCATGATTAAAAACCATTTTAATCACACCAAATGTCCATGGCCCAAATAGTCGAGGCCTGCCATTTGTCTTCCATTTCAGGTTTGAGTAAATGGGCACTTTTAATCATATGGGTCATTTGGGAGCCTTGTTCTTTTGTACTTTGCTTTGCTAATGAAGGAACTTGTAGAAACAAGCAAAAAAAGTAATCATAACAATAACTAGAACTAGTACTTACCAAATATTTACTATATAGTAAAATTCAACCCACATTTTAATCTTTAAAATGTTTAATTATACTAAACAAATATTTTATATTTGTTTCAGGTGTACAGCATAGTGGTTAAACACATATAATTTACCAAGGATCCCCAATAAGTCTAGTACCCACCTGGCACCATACATAGTTATTACAATATTACTGACTGCATTCTCTATGCCATACTTTATGTCTTCATGACTATTTTGTAACTACCAACTTCTATTTCTTAATACCTTCACCTTTTCAACCTAACCCCCCAATCCTCTCCCATTTGGCAGCCATCAGTTTGCTCTCTGTACCTATGAGTCTGTTTCTGTTTTGTTTGTTCATTTATTTTGTTCTTTAGATTCTATATACAAGTGAAATCATATGGTATTTGTCTTTCTCTGACTTATTATATTTATCATAATACCTTCTAGGTCCATCCATTTGTCACAAATGGTAAGATTTTTTCTTTTTTATGGCCTTGCCTATATGGTCAATTAATAAATGACAAAGGAGGCAAGCATATACAATGGGGTAAAGACTGTCTCTTCAGTAAATAGTGTTGGCTGACAGTGACCAGAGGGGAGAGAGGAGGGAATTTCAGGGGAAAGGGGGAAAGGTTTGCAGGAACAAGTATAAAGGACACATGGACAAAAACAAGGGAGGGTAGAAACAGGAGGGAGGTGGGGAGGGCTGGGGATGGACTGGAATGGGGATAAAAGGCAAAAAACTGTACTTGAACAACAAAATAAAATAAAAATTTAAAAATAAATACACAGTATTGGGAAAATTGAATAGCTACAGGTAAAAAAAAAAAAGAAAAAGAAACCAGACCAGTTTCTTATACCATATGCAGGAATGAATTCAAATGGAGTAAAGACTTAAATGTAATATATAAAACCATAAAACTAGAAGAAAACATAGGCAGTAAAATCTCTGACATTTCTCTTAGCAATATTTTTCCATTATAACTCCTTGAGCAATGGAAGTAAAAGAAAATATAAACAAACAACACTACATCAAACTAAAATGTTTTGCACAGCTAAAGAAATCATTAAAAAAATAAAAAGGCAACCTACTGAATGGAATAAGATATTTGCCAATGATACATTTGACAAAGGGTTAATATCCAAAAGTTATAAAGAACACATACAACTTAACACCAAAAGAACAAAACAACAACAACAACAACAACAACAAAAACACAAACAATTCAATAAAAAAAGGCAGAGGACCTGAATACACGTTTCTCCAAAGAGGACATACAAATGGTGAACAGACACATGAAAAGATGCTTAATGTCACTAATCATCAGAGAAATGCAAATTAAAACCACAATGAGCTACCATCTCACACCTGTCAGAATGGCCATCATTAATAAATCAACAAACAAGGTTGGCGAAGATGTGCAGAAAAGGGACCCTTTGTTGGTAGGAATGCCAATTGGTGCAGCCACTATGGAAGACAGTATGGAGGTTCCTCCAAAAATTAAAAATAGAACTGCCTTATGACCCAGCAATTCCACTTCTGGATATTTAGCTGAAGAAATCCTAACAATAGCATGCAGTAAGAGCTGTTAGTACCTTAACATTTTACTGATATGAAAACTGAAGCCTATGGAGTTCCAAAAAAAGTGCCTACAGCATCACAGAAGTCTATCTGACCTGTAAGGCTATGCTTTTAACTTCTATTCCAAAAGACAGTAAAAGAAAATGATGCAATATGGGATCATTTGTATCTTGATATCTCTATAACAACCAAGGTTCATGAGACCTACTGGCAATGGTTTAATGACAGGCAGAGAGATAAAGCTAAGTTTATCTTCTGTCAGAAGCAAGCATGAGGTATGTGTATGTTGAATAAATTTAAATGCTTGAAAATATGAAAAAAAAACTTGAAGAGGCTAAAAAAATATATTTTGGCCTCTCAAAGGGCATCTGAGTATAAACAATTATAATAAAATAGTATTAAAAGAGAAATACAAAGTAGAAGATCCTGACTTCAAAGGTGAAGAGTTTCAAAATTTGATCCTATAAAGAATAAATGAAAAGGTAAAAGAAAGCAAAGGTGAAGAAATTCTACTGAGTGAAAAATGCACAATAAATATGAGCCTACTTTCTCAAAAGGCAAATCCACACTTTCCAGAAAAGTGTTTTCATTCCAAGCTTAGCAGAAGAGAATCAAAATCAGAACCCATAGAATAAGGAATATAGAAATGTGACAGAGAGAAGAAAAATAATGACCCACCGGAAATGCATATGGTTCCTTCTAAAGGGGGAGACAGGGAGTGACTAGCCCTCTTATCCCCACCCTCCTTGAGGAAGGAAAAAGAAATGCTAGAAAGAAATTAAACTGTCCCTGTAGTTCAAGGATACCACATACCCTGGAGGAAAAATTATATCTTGCTGTTGGAAGTTTCCTGTGATAAAGCTCAGAGGCAGCAGCAATAAACCAAAGAAAGCTAGCATTGCTATCTTCTCAAGCATACGCTCAGGAACGCTACCCAGTGATGCTGATTCCTATAGGGAGACTAGGATGCATCTTTAGGAGAATGACATTATTGGACGAAACCTGAAACATTTGAGACTATAGGGAATGTTTTTGTTGATTCTGTTTGGGTGAAATGGGAGGATATGGGAGATATTAATGAGTAAAATTTAAGTTCTAAACTATGGTTTAAAGTAAGTCCTGGAATGAAAGGCTCATATTTAAGATGTGAGTGTATCTTACAAAAAAGGGTAGGATGTGTTTGGCTGGATATTACTTAATGTGATAGTGGAGAAAAAAATTAAAAACAAAATAAACCTATGGCACTGATTTGAGTGAAGGATGGCAGTTCTAACATGAAAATTCCAAATCATTTCTGCTATGCCCTCATACCCTTCTTAGGAAGCTATTTTCCACAAACTGTTGGTATCAAGCGACCCTTCCCTCTTCAGCTCCAAATAAGTAGGCCAATAGTGGACATATGACACCAAAGAAAATGAGCCATAGGCTAAGCCCTAGCCTAAGCCAAGGCATCAGATTTGAAAGAGAGCTTAAAGCAGGGGTACCAAAATGGA